AGTGGTCCGAACCTGAGTGGTTTTGCGCCAGGACTGGGTCAGTTCCCTAGCCAAGTGCCCAACTTAGCAAGTGGCGATCCTAGAATCTCAGTTGGGAATTGTGGAGGATACGGTTGCTGTGGCAGTTGCACACCAGGACCTGGATGTAGCAGTGGTTTTGTAGGTCAGGCAGGACAAGGTTGTGGCTCTTTGTTTCCCTGTTTAGGTGTGAATCCGGTTGGAGTGCAAGACGTTGTACGTTTAGCAGAGGGTATGTCTGGTGCACAGGTCCTATCCTTAGCTCAATACTTTCAAGAACAAGTTCGGAGAAGGACTCATGCACCAACCAGATTTGTTTGGACAAGTACGGAGTGCGCCAGCAGAACCGTTCATGCCTGACTTGTTGGCGGCAGGTTTGCCGTTGCCAGTGGAAGCGCAGAGTGCACGGCAGCAAGCTGATGGTGCAGGTAGTGACAGTGGTTGGAACCAGAATGATCCATTTTCACGGACGGACAAGTGGATTGGAAATCCACCTCAGCCATCCTTTGAGAAGTGGCGTGATCGTGAAAGTGAAGTGCTCAATTGGGCGCAGCATGTGGCGGATTTGTCAGCATGGGCGTCCCAAGCATCTTTGCAGTTTGGGACTGAGATTCTGCAAGCGTCTAGGTGGAGCACACCAATCCGTTGGTCATCAATGACGTTGGTGATGAGAAGTCGTAGTATGCGTTTGTTGGCTATTTTGAGATCCACGTTCATGGGCCATCCCAGGAGTGCCACGTTGATCCATGCTTTCATGGAAGGAGTGGACATTCAGGCCATGACCTCTGACGGTAGTGCAGGAACCAGTGCGAACGGATATGAGCTTCTGCGTCAGCTTACGCAGGAATACTCCTTGAGGACACGCAATGAAGCACTTGTTTTTCGAACTGCGTTGGCATCCAAAAGTTTTGTTCTCACGGCTCAAGAAACATCTCCTTCGTCGCTCGTGAGTGATACCGTACGACGTATCGAACTTGAAGCTGCTAGATATCAGCGATTGTTGAGTACACTCCCGTCGACGGTTGATGCTGTAGGGCTACAGGTGTCAGAAGCTGATTTGCTCATGGTGTTGGTGCGCAGTTTGCCAGAAACCGTGCGCAACTATGTTTTGCACCATGCAGAAGGAGAAAGCTACCAAGCATACCGAAGTGCAGCATGTAGATGGGAACAGCAGCAAAGGATGTTTACGGATTTGGTCCCTTTAGGAGGCAAAAAGGTATCTCAGGTGACACACCACAAGGAGGAGCAGCAACAACCACAAGGAGTAGAATGGTTTGATTTGAGTGAAAATGACGAAAATTGGTTTGTTGATGAGTTGCAGGGTTCCGCACAAAAGTGTGGAAAATGTGGGAGTAAGAAACATCAGACTCATGAATGTAGTGTTGATTTGACCAAAATCAAGTGTTTCCGATGCAACCAGACAGGACATGTCTCGATGAATTGCCCGCAATCTCGCTTTGCAGGACCAAAAGGAAAGGGTCAAGGCAAAGGCTCAAAAGGTTTGGACGGACGAAAGAGTTCTTGGGTAAAACAGGACATGTTCAAGAAAGGAAAATTTGGAAACGGAAACCAAGCAGGCAAAGGTAAAGGTGGAAAGAAAGGAAAACTGAATGAAATTGAGTGGACCGCAGAAGATCTGTGGTGGGACAGTGAGGAGTCTTGGTGGGGAGATGGATCCCCGGTAGCCGCGACTTGGAGTGACGCGGCATGGCACGTGCAGGAGGATTGGCATTCTGGCTGGGTTGAGACCAGTCAAGATGGCTACGGCACAGGCGGAGAGCTTGGTTCAGAAACTCAGTATCGCACGGATGCTGTGAAGTCAGAAGGAAATGCACTTGGAAGTTTGATTCTTTCACCAGTTTTTGTCCTTTGTGATTTTGTGTCAATGCGGCCTTGTTTGGAATTGGAACCACCGGAGCACGACGCAGAGACTGCGACAGAGCCTTCGAAGTGTCCAGATTTGTCCGGACCTTTGGCAAAGGGCTTAGAGAAGAGTGCAGGAGAAACGACAATCGAAAAGACGCATGGAGATGCACATTCATGTCATGCTCTTCCGGCTCTGTCTGACTTCCCTTCCCCCGCAAAAGAGGGGGGGTCCAAACGTCGACGTTTGGACGGGGTCTTTTTGGATGGGTGTCCTGTCAGTTTTCCAAGCGAACAAATATCGGGCATTCCACAGTCATGTCATGCTTCGTATGTGCAGTGTGGTTTGAGAGACGACAAACGGGTTGTTTATGCAAACGAGACGAGTCAAGAGTTGTGTGCACTTGAACCTCTCCGAATTCGACTTCTTTTGCCGTGTGTTTCAACTTTTTTGAACGAGACGAAACAAACGTTGTCAGTTGCAGCTCAGTCTGTGAAGTGGGTACCAGTTTTAATGCCCCTCTTGTCTGAAATGGTGACAGATGATAACACTTGGTGGTTATTAGATTCAGGTGCGAGTGCCACGGTCATGAGCAGCGCATGCAAACATGTGTACATGGTGCATGATGTTCAGGCAGCAGTAGATGGTGATCGCTACAGGGCTGCGAATGGAAGTCAGGTGCACATGCAAGGCGAGGCATCCGTATCTGTTTGGATGATGTTGCGTAATGATTCCAGGTCTTCAGGCTCAAATGTGGAAGGGTGCGCATGGAAGAAGGCAACGTTGCGTGCTCTTGTAGGAAACATTAGGCACAACATCCTGTCCACCACAAGGCTATGCGCTGGAGGTTGGAAGTTTTCACAAAGCAATGAAGGTTTCCAGGTCACACACAGCGCGACTGGTCAGCGTCTAGGCGAGGTGGCATACTTTGCAGGTTGCCCTTGGGTTCGACTCCACCCTGTAGAAACTCTAGATCGCAACACTGATGAGGCCGAGGTGTCAGGATCACAGCAATTGTCGTTGTCTACTATTGCAGGTGTGCCTGAGGTGACCGCTTCTGAGAAGGGTTATGAACTTCCTGTCTACCCGTTGTCACGAGCAGCAGCGCGTGAACTTGAGCAACACCGTGCACAAGGACACACACCTTTTCACCCAGGTTGCGTTGAGTGTGCGCGAGGACGAAGTGTTTTCTCCCACAGGCGACGATCAGAGGAAGGGTTACAGTGTGAGATACAAGCTGATTTTTGTTATTTGAAAAGCCAGGGTGAGATTTTGGAAGATGACCAAGGCTTGGGAAATATCAAAATTCTAGTTCTCACAGAACTGGTGTCGAATGCAGTTGGATACATCGTTGTCACAAGTGACCTCAAGGCGGTCAAGAAGAGGATTTCCAAATGGCTGGAGCTGTTTGGATTGGCGTCGACATCAGGGGCCACGTCAGTGGTTTTACACACTGACGCGGAACAGGCAGTGGGAGATCTCATTTCAGATTGCTCAGAGAGGATTTCGTTCCTAGTGAGAAAGGCAAATCCACAGCAGCACCGGAGTGTGGGTGCAGCGGAACGTGCCGTTCGCAGACTTAAGGAGAGCTTGGGTGTTTTGAGAGCCGACTTGAATAAGTCTGGAGCCGATTTGAACTTTACACCAAACAGTGTGGCAGAAGCATTGACGTATTTGGCCTTAGTTCACAATCATTTCGGCAAGACCCCTAGTTCAGACTTTTCACCGCTGGAGACTGTGTGCGGCAGGCGACCTAGCAAACCCACATCAACTTTGTATGGTGCTACAGTGTTGGCTGAGTTGCCAGATGCAGTTCGTTTCCGCGCTCCAAACGAAACTCGGAGCATCGAAGCGGCGTATTTGCACGCAGGACTTGATCATGGTCCCAAGGTTCAAGGGTTTGTGCGGTTTGAAGGCCAGCTTGTTTTGCATCAATTTGTTGCTAGAAATGTGAGACCAATTCTCCCATTGAAGTGGGATGCAGAGATGGGAGCAGGGTTTATCACCATGAGTGGTCACCCGATTGAGGTTGAGGATGTTCATGTGTCGAGAGGAGCGCTGGCCGATTCACCGCAGGCCGAGCATGCAGCTAGTTCAGCTTCCCGTCCGCAAGGTATGGAACAGGAACCACGATTGCCATTGCCAGGACCTGAGGGTGTGCCCGTGCCTCAAGAGAGAAAGCGCATGCATCAGCAAGAAGCGTTTGAGGCCAGTCAACCAAAAGTACCTAGAATAGAAGAACCTTCTTTTGTTCCAGAGTCAGAGTCGGCTGTGCGACAAACACCTCCTAGCCAACTTGCTGGTGAACCACAACCCAGGGTGTTTCAACCGACTCGTTTTTGTCCCGCTTGCGATACAGGAATGGTTGCGCCTGGAATCAGGCATTCAGCGCAGTGTCGTCGTCGCAGGGCAGCCTTTGATGCACAGGAAAATCTCCAGAATCTTCCGGTACCATTGGAGGCCGAATACACCAGACAGTTCAAAAGAGCTGCTGAGACGGCAGTGCAAGATTTGGAAGAAACGACCAGGGCGAATACTGAAGCTGTGGAAACAGTCTCAATCTTGTCTTCCTTGAACTTGTTTTGTTTTGACTCCGGTGAATCACTAGAATCTTTGGATTTTAGGGTTCAAATGACGTCACCAACACTAGTTCTGGATGAGATCAGTGCCATACAATTTGATCATGGAAAGGAACATGTGTCCAAGCAACTCACTCTTGGGGGAGGCAAGGTTTTGATTTGGTGCCCTGATCATGTCATTGATGACAGCACGTTGGAGGCCTTAGAACCTAAGTTGGGTTTCGAGGGCATGTTGGAGGAAATTGGCAATTTGGAGAAGTGCAAGGCGGGGAAACTCTTGAGTGAACAACAAATGAACGATTTGAAGAGACTGAACAAAAACACAAGAGTAATACCTAGTAGATGGGTATGCGCTAAGAAATCCCCAGTCAAAGTCAGGACACGGATTGTGGCAAAGGATATTAAAAGGGGGACGACGGCTAGGGCCATGGGATACAGCTCACCCACTCCCAGTGTAGAAGGGTTGTTTCTTCTCCTTTCCTTGAGCGCTAGTAGGGATTTTCGAGTGAAGACCTTAGATATCAGTCACGCCTTCATGCACTCTCCCCTTCCGAGCTCCGAGACAATCTTATTGAGACTTCCGCTGTCTGTGAGCTTGGTTGATGGCAGTGTGGCGTATCTCCACTTAGATCGAGCGCTCAACGGGTTGAGAGATGCGAGCCTGAGGTGGTTGAATCTTTTGAGTGAGACTGTCAAAAGTCAAGGATTGTGGTCAGACGAACTTGAGCCCTGTATTTACCAGGGAGAAATCTTTGGTGAAGACTCTCAGGTGCTGGGTGTCGGCATGCTTATGGTGTACGTGGATGACATTCTGTTGTGCACCTCTACAGAACAGGCGGAAAGGAGCGTGATCAGTGCCATTTCGGCAGTTGTACCAACCAAGGTGACTGGACAGATTCTTCCGTCAGATGAAGGAGGCGGAAAGGTGTCATTCATTGGGAGACATCTTTATCGAAGGCCCCAGGAGAAGGCGATCTTTGTAGCAGTAGATCCAGAGTATCTCAACCCTACTTTCAAAGAATTTGGAATCACACAAGGATCGAGCGCTGTGCCTAACATAGCAGGCCTGATGGAAAAGAAGGATGCATCATCGAAAACACCATTGTCGTCGGAAGCGTACTCCCGGTTTCGTCGGGGACTCGGTCGCCTCATTTGGTTAGCCCAGAGTAGAGCAGACCTCAAGTTATGGCTATCACTAATTGGTACACAGCAGTCAGCCCCAACACAAAGCACAGAAGCGGCCATTAGGGCAGTATTGAGGTATTTGTTCACAGATCGAAACACAGTCCTTCGCCTTCCATCTCCAGAGTATGAGGGAGTGAGACTCACAGACCATGATGGCATGGTGACGTTCTTACACACCTTTTCAGACGCATCACACGCCCCCTATGAATTCAACCAGCGAAAAGGCATCACTGGAGGGGTCATTATGGTCGAGGCAGGCTTGATTCGATCTCTGGCAAAGCAACAGCAGGCCACTTCGCTATCGTCTTGTGAGGCTGAGCTATATGCTATTCAGCATCTCACACAGGAGGCATTTGCCTTCTCCCATTTTGTGCATCGCGTTCTCTTCGGCTTGGGAGAGATTGAGGAGAAGGAACAGGTGGACATTGTATTGGAATCAGATTCCAGCTCAGCGTTGCAGTTGATTGGTGCTGTTGATCTTCCACGTCGTTCCCGGCACATTGATATCAAGTTGACATGGTTGAAGGAACGTGTTAGTTCCAATGAGGTGCAACTTCGACATCGAGCGGGAACGCAGAATGTGGCAGATCTTTTCACCAAGTGTCTCGGAACACGTGATTTCCTTCGACATCGAGCGGTGTTGGGATTCATGCAAGCGGACATGCCATTGAATGAGCTGTGGTTGTTGGCTGAAGCGTTTCATGTAAGCAATCAGGCATCAGGTTCAAACAACCCAGACTACTTGATGGTTGAGGTGTGTTGCACTGAGAATTCCAACTTGAGGTTGGCCTGTGAGCGATCGAACATTATGTATGTTGGTATCACGGCTAACATGGAAACAAAAGGAATCAAACAGAGGGTTGCCCACTTGGTAAAGATGAAAAGGAGCCAAGGGTTTTGGATTCATGTGCACGTATCCACACCATGTAAGACAGGTTCACCGTTGCAGCACTTTCGAGAAACTGAGAAACTGTCTTCCGAAGAACAGCAGACATGGGAACAAGTCATGGAAGCAACCACGCATTACCTGAGGCTTGGTGACGTGGGCTCATTTGAACTCCCGTTGTACAACAACATATGGGGAGGCCACTTACTCTTCGTGTGATGGAGAAATGTGGTCTAGTGCATCAGAGTGTTGTGAACCTTTGTCAGGCAGGATACTCAGGTAGGTCCGGGACTCCAGTGGGCAAGAAGCTTAGTTTCGTTTCGTCCTCAAGAGGGTTTTGCGCATCGTTGACAAAGAGATTTGGAAAGTGCACTTGTTCAGAACATGCAGCATTTTCAGATACAGACTACTCAAAGACTGCTTTCTATTCTCCTACTTTGTCAAGAGGCATTTTGAATGCTATGAAAGCGGCGCGAAGAGATCCCTGAGGACCGATCGTTTGTGAACCTTAGTTTGGTAGTGAGCTGGCAGTGAACTTAATTCGCTTGAGGATCAGGAGCAAGGAGCAAGCATTTACAGCAAACACCATAAATCGCGAAACGCGAAAATGAATGCAAGTAAGACGTCTAAGACGCCTCTAACATAGTGCTTCTTGTGACTTTCGGTTTTTTTGCATCAAGCATCACACTTGGAATTGCAGTCATGTTTGTTTTGCACTTAGTTTGTGAACTCGTGACGTCGTTGCCGGTTTTGGGGTGAAGTGACTCTCAAAGAGAGGTGTACCTGAAACGCTTTCCGAGTGTGTGTTGTGGTGTGTGCGTGTGAGGCCTAATGCGGGCCCGTTGAGTTTCCTTTCTTTTGTTTGGCCGGTTTTGTTTGGAAACAGCTTCTTTTGCGCTTCTAGCCGGTCGACCTTGTGAGAAGCCATGGCCGAAGGTGCATGGTCCGAGGCTGATGAAAAGGCCTTGCAGGTGATGCTGGCTCGCAGGAGCCAAGGCATTGTGCCACCTTGCGTCACGCAGACTGCAGGTAGCATGACGGATGCTGCGAAGAGGCGCTTGGTTGACTTTGAGAGTGATGAATTTGAGGAAGTCCCATTTCCCGGTTCACCGAAGGATCGTGTGGCCACCCTTGCAGCTATGGATGTGACGATTGCAGATGAGGGCAAAGTGAAGCATTTGCTCCCCAAAGGGGTTGACAGCTTTGTGGAATGGTCCCGCACTGTGATTGCTTTTGGCAAGCTGAAGGATTCAGGGCTCAGCTACAAGGAGATTGTGGCAGACCCGAAGCATGAGGCCTATGTGGCTTGGTGCAAGCGTTTGAAAGGCTCGACTGGGCCGGCAGGAGACTTTGGTGATTTTCTGCAAGCCTATGAGATGATCTTTGATGGCCGTTTGGGCGATGGTGGCTACTACTCCGAGTCAACGGTTCGGAGGGTCTTGAAGTGAATTGAGAAGCTTGTGGCTTTACCTTTTGGTTTCGGCGCTGTCTTCGCTTTGAAAGCTGACGAGACTGGAGGGAATTTTTCCAGAGATGCTCAATTCGAAAGGGGGTGTGAGAGGATATTGGACCTCTTTGATGCGACTTGAGCATCTACACGTCTAGAACAATGCACTACGAGCCACTTTCAGGGATTTGAGCGCCCCTGAGTTCACGACAATGCACCACGAACCTCTTTGGTACTATGTGAGTCAAAGCGGTTTGAATGTCTTTGACTCGTACCTTCATGCGTAGCTTTTGGAGTGTTTTGAGCCAAGTACAGTTCAAGAGGATTTGGCACGTTGGTTTTTCTGCGACCACTTGATGTGGAGTTCACTTTGCACAACATGATGCTTTTGAAAGGAACCCACGTGGTCGACTTTTGCATAGCTTGATGTGAGCAGTCAATGTTTTTACGTTGGCTCAAGCTCAACGTAAAGCCAGAACAAGTCAAGCGAACACGACACGTTTGCTTGCGTGTGTGTGAGTGAAGGAAAAGTTGAGGGGAGTCCGATCTTGTGAGTCATTTGCTTTTTGGGATCGATACGTTCGTTGTTCGTTGTTCTTTAAAGGCACCCGCCCGGGCTCTCCCTGTGCTTCGTGTAAGGAAGAACGCTGTAGGTAGCAGTACCGCGACGCGTCTTGTAGCGTACACGTAGCTTCGCAAACATCGCAATTGTACCCTTCCATAGGAGGTTCTATCCATGAGTATCATGGCGATATGCCCGCACTTTTGAGCAAGGGGCAAGCAAAGGAAAAACTGCACATCGCAAAGGACATGTGTCCTTGAATGAACTGGATGACCTGTCTAGTCCAGACAGCGCTGAGAGCTGTCGACAGATGCCAGTGATCACAGGCAAGAAGACTATTCAGACCTGCAAAAACCAGCAATGTCTTCGCAGCTGGAATGGGACAAGCACACCGACAGCGGATTGCGGCAAGTAAGATGCGCAAGCACTAATAGGATCACCGACCTCTTCTCGCCATTCGCAACGCTGTGAGCCAATCGGAATGAGAGCCTTAGCTTCTCGTTTCCAACAGGCGGGTGGTAGAGAGTGGCAATGGAGGATGCCCAGAGGGAACCTTAGTTCCCTTTGTTGATGTCCGACGTTTCCAATTTTGTACAAAGAGGTACAGATACCATGCTAGGATTGTCCAAAGTTTCACCTGTTTCACACGGGCCTTGCACGCAGCCGATCACCTTTTGCACACAGCTGATCTCAGACCAAGCGTGAGAAAAAACAAGGCGCTTGCGTTTATGGCCCCTCACTGGCACCCGTAGACGGACCGGAGCAGTGGCGATGCCAAAGGGTGTGTTTGCTGCTTTGCAAAACTTCTGCCACCCCTGCTGATGCCGCATCTCATCCATGCGGAAGAGAACATGTCACGCGGGCGGGTCTTTTCCATACCATTCTCATGGGCGTTTAGGATCAGGGATGGGTCCTGGGGCATCACTCCATGAAGGAGATACAGGCTCGCCTTCTACGTTCCGGAGGTGCTCAGCAAAGCGACTGTGCTGAATGGCTCACCGCAGTCACAAGAGACCATATTGCAGCTCATCCCCTTTGGGAATTTTTTGTCGTCCTTGCCCTTTTCCTGCCGCAACTCCCCTTTACAGAGGGAGCACAATGGCCAATCAACTCTGGACCAGTCCAGTCATCCGTCGTGAGACCACGGTTATCCAAGTGACTCCCATGGCCCAAGGATTGCGAGGCATGCGCAAATGCCGCATCGCCTTTCCTGCCCACTCCAGAGCGGCAGCCTTCTGTGCGCAAGCCCGCTGAGCAACAATTCCTCCAGCTCCACATGCCGTCAGATAAGACACATGTCGGCTGCCAGGTTTGGTTTAGGTGTCAGTGATGCCAGTAAGGTCCTTTTACATTTGAGTTGGTTGTAAACAAGTCATGAATGGCTTGCATGTTCTCCAAGTATGCTTGTAAATTCTATAAGTATGTTAACGCGGTAATTGTAGTTAGCCTGGACTTGGTAGACACTTACTGTCGGAAGAGAGGTTAGTTCGGTTGAACTTAGGTCGAACTTGTGATCTAGTTAGCTTTTTGTTGGAAGGTTGTTTTTTGGCATCGCGTGGCTGTGGCTACGGTGCGTGACGTTGCATTTGGTCCGTCACACACCACGTCTGTCAGTGCCTTTGTTCCGTCAAGCGTTCGGGGTTTTGGCTTGTTGGAGCGGCATGGAGCCTGCGGGGCCAGAAGGGAAGAAGTCTTCGCCAGGGTCCTGGCGGGCGGGGGGAAAAGCACGTCGGTCCGTGTCGGTCCTATATAAAGCAATTAGCAGGCATGGCCTTTGCGCGTGTCGGCCTCGTGTCGGTCAGTGTCGGCCAGGTCTCAGAAAACCTCGCCTTTCTGGGGGTCTGTGTGGCGCTCCATCGCGCAAGACGCGATGTTCATCCGCGTATGTGCCACGGACCAACTTTCGAAGCCCACGTGGTGTCGACGACTTAGTCCACTGCCTGCACTATAGATGCCCCGTGCCAATTCGCGTCAAAAAGATTCAGCTGCCAGAGCCCATCATACGTGAAAACAAGAAAAAAACCCAACACCTCGAACTACTTACAACCTACTTATAACCTACTTATAACATCTGTGTAAGTACAGAATTCTTAACTTCCGCAAGCTCAAATTAACATCTATAAGTACAAGATAAGTAAAAGGACCTTATAGGTACTTGGATACTGGTATCATTGATACTTGGATACTGGTATCTGGGTATCATTGATACTTTAGTTCGGGTATCAGTGATACTTTAGTTCGGGTATCATTTTTGAATAACCTATATTAAAAAATTATCAACTTAATAACTCCTTGGCGTTTGGATTTCTTAATTCATATCCTACAATACAATTACTGTTGTTTTCTTTTGCTACTGTAATATTCGCATCTTTTAATAGTTTATAGAATTGGAATATAATTAGTTTATCATTCCCTGCAAAATGTTTCCACTTTTGAAAAACTGTAAAACCATTTAATTTGCCTTCTTTTGATGATTTGAAATTATCATTGAACCACTGACTAAAACTAATATTATTAGCATTTTCTGCTCTTTCTTCGTTATGGTTTTTGTTAATTAGTTCTGGCGGTTGTTCTTTTTTGGGTGTTGCTTTTGGTTTGCTTCTACTTTTAGCCTTGACTTCTGCCATTGTAATATAATAATACCGATATTTTAAATGTTTTTGGGGCTGATGATTGAAAATAAATAATCAAAAGCGACCCTGCCTCCTGTTTTTAAAAAATATTCTTTTTGTTCTCTTAAATATTTCTGGTCTGGGGTCTCTTTTGGTTCTGTTTTGTTTTCTTCTTTTGGTTTATTTTTTGCTTAAATATTGTTATTTATTATGATTTTAGATATTTTGTTTTTTGTTTCAATGTTATAATTTTCCTTATTATCAAAAATAGTATTTTTAAACTTCTCATAAGTTAATTTGTCTTCTTTTTCTGCTTTGTATTGTAAATAAAGTTGCCGTAATGAAACATTGATAAATATATCATCGTATTTAGGTCTATTTTTGAATATGTTAATTAAACATTCGCAATTATAGCAACAATTGAAATTTTTTAATATTATCTACTAATTCAATTGGTAGAATATTATTTAATACATTACAACTATTTTTATTTGCTTTACATTTTCGGCATCCATTAATATAATATTTGTAAATATACTGTTCTAATTCATCAAATTTAACAATAATTTCTTTGTTATTTTTCTCATATTTCACTAATAATATTTATAGGTGTAATTTCTTTAAGTATATTTTCACTAAAAATAATGACTTAATATCTGAGT